CTTAGAGAGGGCTGAAAGCCTTATGAAGCGGTATATAAGTCTAACTGCTATTGCTATAGCTAAGTGGAGAATGTTCTTTTCAGAAAATTCAGAAACTTCAGAAGTGGACTTTCTGTTTTGGGGTTGGTATAGAAAAACTTTTTGCTTGCTGTGATGGATAATACACGAGCTAGAGAGTGCAACTGCAGATTTTTTTTCTGAGTCTTTTTCAATTGTAGCTATGATCAACTGATTTTCTGTGTTCCCTAGGATAGGTTTGTATAGTTTGACTTTTGTCCTTCTAGGCAAAAAATATATATGTTTACTTGGTTGTATGAGAATTTGTTTTAATGTGTGGAGTCGGCCCTGATAGTTGGGGACATAATTGTACCTCTCATTTTCACTTAATAATTACAGAGAGGCTGTAGAACTTAAAAATAAGTTTGTTTTGGAGTGAGCAAAGGTTTGGAGTTAAAATCAAAGAGATTAAGTTATGTGGCTAGAGGTCATGAAACTTGGGTAGATTTGTCTGAGCTGCTCTTTAAGGCACTTATTCTCTATGAAATCTCTGTCTCTGGTATTGAAATAGCTGTGAACCTAAGACTTATTTTAAATTTAATTTCAAGATAATATAAAATACAGCAACCTGGTTGTTTCTGGTCTTAAAAATCTGTTTTCATTCCAGATAATTTGAATAATTTGCCTCATCTTTAGAACAAACGACCTATGGCTTGACCCTCATCTATGATTTATTTACATGTATTTTTAAATTATGAAATATTTAAGAAACAATAATTTTAGTTAAAATTAGTCATCCTTCCAGCCCTACCTATGGGGAGCCCTGACGGATGAAGCTCTTGGGTTGAACAAGATTTCTGTTAATTTTAGTTACATCTTTTGATCTTGGCTGAAACATACTGCTTGAATATTTGTTCTATTTTGGGATTGCTTAGGAAGGTGATTTTTTTCCCCCCATTTGAATCCTAAATATAACAAACATGAGATTCCTTTTCCTCTTTCCAGTGGCATGGATCTATTTTGTGGCGAAATTACTCCACCAGAATTCATTCCTTGTGTACAAAAGGAATAAACATGGAAATGAATATGTTTAAAGAATTGCTTTAGCTTAATTAATAACTATAAATAATAAAATTGTCTACATATTCCATTTATTCAATAGTTGATATCCTGGTATTAGAAAATGAGTTTTGAGGATATCCAAAAAGCCAAGAGTATTTTTTGGTGAAAAATCTGAATTTAATAAGTAGTTTAACATTTAAAATTAGTAGTAGTATATTTTGAGTATGAAAATGAAACAGGTTACACAAGAACTCTTAAACAGTGAGGTGTGGCACTGCTCATATCTTCAGAGAATAGACAGAAATATTTAACTGCCATTCTTCTTCCTTCTTATTTCAGATTATATAGCTTTAAAACTGAGCTTGGTCTTTCATTGAAATATAACTTTAATTCGTTGATGAATCTGAAAGTATTATCCTGCTAACCTTCTCAAAGTAATGTATTTAAATTCATGGGAAGTTTACATTTTAAGAATATACTTGGGAACTTGCATTATTCAATGGCCAATGTCTTTTATATAATTACTTAACTGCAATTGGTACTTTTCTTAGATTCCTACTCATTGCTTATCAGTTGGCTGCCAGAGGATTCTAATGAAGGATCAGAAGAAAGGTCTATAGAGGAACTCTTGGAGGAGTATAGTTATGAGTCGATAGGAGAAATGGCAGAGGAGCTGGAGGAAGAGCTATTTGAAGAGTATGGTGAAGATTCTGTTGAGGCATTTGAAGAATATGAAGGATCTTTTGAGCTGGACGATGTGCTAGTGGAGGAAGAGGACTTTTCTGAAGGAGTAGACGAGTCCTTAGAGGAGGAAGTGAGTTTAGTGTCAGAAGATTGGGTAGAAGAGCCTAGCAGTATAACTCTGGAGGAGTTGGAAGAAGAAATAAGTATAGGATCAGATTTGGAGGAAATTTACTAAATGAAAGCCTTTATATTAATAAATTCAATTTTAAGCTATCTGAAACGTCTCTTCGCTTTTCTAAAGGATGCTTGCTTGGTATAAAAAAAGTCAAAACAATTGTGCTAACGAGCTAAATTTAAATACAATTTTAACATCACAAAATTTTAGTAGCTTTGAAAGCTTTTAGAGTCACTTTGATGAATACTAATTAGCAGAACCCAAAGGTGTGTTTTATGATTATGGTATTGTTGTAACTAGTCATTTTAAAATGAGTGACAAAAAAGTGTACAAATTTGAAGTTCAACTGCAAGTGTATTTCTAAGCTTTTTTTAAAAAAAACAACAACACCCTGAATATTAAATTAGCTGCCTGTGTAGATGTACCAGAAACCTACGTATTTAATTTCCTCCCCAAAACTTGTTCAAAAAAGCTAATAAAACAGAATAAATCTGTTAATGATACAAATAGCTTTGTTGTTACAAGCAGTCAGAAAATAAAATTTTAACCCTTACCAAGTTTGGATGCTTTATACATCTTTATACTCTTGCATTTTGTGCAGAGGAAAAATAGATCTTAAAACATACTTGAGATACAGAATAGTCTTCCCTTAATTACTGTATTTCTCAGTCTGTAAGACATACTCCTCCCCCAAAGTGAGTGGAAATGTCTGTGTGTCTTATAGAGCAAATGTTGCTGAAACCTCGTCCACCTGCCAGCCACCACCCTTGGGCTGTTTTTGGCCTCTATGCATCCCATTTTCGGCCCATTCCAGGTGGGGATCCTGGTCACTTGGAACGAGCTAAAAATTGGATGTGCAGAGGCTGAAAATGGGGCATGTAGAGGCCAAAAACAGGACGTGCGGAGGTGGCTATAGGCGGCGGTGATCCCCACAGCCTGGAACAGCTGATCAGCGGTATTCTGGGAGACCAATCCAACTGCCAATCAGCTACTTCTGCTAAATCAGGCTGCAATAACATGCTGAAGCTGACCAGGATGTTTGCTGTTTGCTGCAAGGATGCTAACCAGATGAATATCGATGCATGCTGGGAGACAGAGGAAGATTTTTTTCTGGTTTTCCACCCCAAAAGCTAGGTCTTAGGGTACAGAGTGCCTTATAGTGCAAAAATACAATAATTGGGTAATAAATAAAAGTTATTTAATTCTCCGAAGAGCATAATTGGCTCTTTAACATATTCATATATCATATTTTCATAATATTGAAATACAAAATGAAACTACAGTATAAAACAAAATGCTGGCTACTGTAAGCTAAGTCATTGATGTGATAGGTGGGCATAGGGATTGAGCAAACAAATGAAGCTTTGTGTAAGCATTCTAAAACCATTGAGTTCTATTCAGCATACACTTTTTTATGTATTAAAGATCGGCGAAGATTCACATGGCACTTTAGAAGCATCTTCATATCTGAATGTAGTTGAGTGAAACTTGTAATGGGTGCAGCTGGCGACAATGTATATTTCCTTTTAATTATTGATGGAAAAAATTAAAAGTGGGAATATGTTGTATAAACAATCTGAATAACTTAATAAACTTCATTTTGGTTTTGTTTCGTTATCAAAGATTTTAAATGGGGAATATTTTCTTAGTAAATCTAGAGATTATCAATTTGGAGAAAATTATTTGGCTGTATATACAGTTTTAAATCAACATAGCTTATTAAGGGATTTCATTATAGAAAAACTGGATTTTGGATTCTTAGATACAAAATACAGATAAAATTAATTGCATACAACTAAATGTGATTCTATATTCGTAGAATTATTTAAACTCCCAAGTTTCCCTAGGAATATTTTAGACACTCTGAAATCATATTCATAGTAGAAACAAAACTTGAATTGACAAAATAAACACCAGGTAACTCAGAAAAAATGGCTATTTATAGATTCATAATAGTGAGCAGTAATATAATATAGTTCATGGGTACACAAGTGACCTTCATACTTTGCTCATGAGTCAATGTAATAAATTAGGCAGCTACACCAGTGGCTTTACCTGATAATATGCTGAAGTTCAATATATAAAGACTCTTGCTACAGGAATAGTATTTTATCTGAAAGATTCTTAAGCTGTTGGTGATGTGGAAATATACTAAAATAGTGCTAGTCATTAAAAGAAGTCAGGTCTACTATTACTAGTTGTAATTTAAGGTATTAATGCGGACTGATTCTTCTACCTTTTGTGATTGAAGACTTCCCTTTTATTTAATTTTTCAGTGAAGCTGATGGTCCTCGGGGTGTGTAACAGAATGTTATCTTAAGAAACTTGTATGTACAAATATGAAAGTGAGATTAACACGTACTGTTTCCCTTTATGTAAAAGGCGAGTTTCATGAAAATTAGTTGGATATAATGGTTCCATTGATGAGATCCCTTTGAAAGTAATTGTTGAGTTAAAAGGGTTGGAGATTGAATTCTTTCATTAAAAGAGGATAAATACAAATCCATGTACTTTGGTTTGAAGCATCAAACATTACAACTTTAGGCAGTTTCTTTAGCAAGAAAAACACGAGCAACCTACCTGTGGAATTCTTACTCTCAATTGGATGCACCAATTGCAGTAACCATTTTTCCCTATTGTTAGCTTTTAAATTACATAATTCATCTAGGGACTGTTTATATTTAAATGCGATTTAGATGTATTCATTGTTTTGAATGTCTCATTCTCATTCTTTAATGACTTGTTCTGAATATTTGATGAGATACACTTTAAAACAGTTTTAAAAACAACTTTAATACCCATAAATATATTTCAGATTGTCTCATCTTCAGATACATTCTAAAAATATAATAATAAACAGCTAATCTTAAGGACATGTTGAACTCTACTTACTGTTCAGTTCTAGAGTTTCGTCATGTTCCTATATACAATAGCAGAATAATGTTTCCCTGTTTCTTTTCCTCCTTTTTTCAAAAATTGATGTTTTATAAAGTAGCAATTTGGCAATATGGAAGCTTGAAAGTTGCTATTCTTAGTTCTTTGATGTAGGTGATTTTGAAAAAATTACTATTTTCAAAGTTTTTCAAATAAAGCCATATATCTATTACCTATTTACGTAGATGATGGTATTTTGGGTTCTGTGGAGATCTTAGACTGTATATTGATATAATGATTATAAAGTTATGTGACAATCATTCCTCAATTAAATATTGAAGACTGTATTTTATAAAGTGCCGTCTATTGTGATAATGTTTTGCATATATTCATTTATACAGTTTTATATCTCTGGATCAAACATACATCATAGGTGAGAAAATGGTAATGATTTTAAGACTGTATGAAATATTTGGTTTAATAGCTTACTTTTTGCTGTCAGGAAATGCTAAATTTCTAAAGAGAAATGAATGATGCTTGTAAGTTTTTAATGTTTTCATTTGCTGTTTTAATACCTTTTGCAGTTTTAAAATATTTATCTGGTTAAAACCTCATTAATCAGGCTAATGTAACAGATTTAGATTCTTCATTGCAGCTTTTGTTCAGGTTCCCAAGTTCCTAAACCTACAAAAAAATATAGTTGAAGTGGACAGTGAAATTTAAATGTCTTACTTTTCTACAGGTTGCTGTTTTCTTTCTTTTATTAGAAAAATTACTCTTAAAGGCTGCAGTTCATAGCATATTTCCTTGAATGTTTTTGAAAGGAGGAAGGGTAGAGCAATGGTTAATCATTCCAGACTGGAAAGCAGAATATCATGTATTCTAGTCCTGTGTTAGGGAGGAAGACAGTTGAGTGACTCTGGTAAAGGACCTATTGTAAATTATGAGTAGTGCTTTTATGTATATGAATATAATGTAGTATTAAAATCTTTATGTGACATAATGTTCTCTTACCAAAGATTGAAATAGATTATGTTGGTGATATATCTTAATATTTAAATGTTTATTATTAAATCTTTTAAAACCATTTTGTTTAATTATTACAGAAATTCACTGATTAATTTGAAACTCTTTTTAATTTTATTTGCAGAAGATCCCTTTGAGGATTTTTTTGGTAATAGAAGAGGGCCGCGTGGAAACAGAAACAGAGGTGGTGGTTCATTTTTCTCTGCCTTCGGTGGATTTCCTGCCTTTGGGGGCGGTTTTTCTTCCTTTGATACAGGTAGGACTTAATTATAACGTATGCATTGAAATGTGGACAATTCTGAAAGGTTTATAGCCTGCAAACTTTGATTGGATACCATTTATGCAAGCTAGAATTATAGAAATAGAAAACTAAAAGAGAGCAAGAGTTGCTAAGATGGATCCAGGAATTTGAGTTTTTCATGTTTATTTCAGGGTTGAAGGACCTTTGCTGCTCAAAAATATTACTGATTCTCACCATTTGGCAGCTCTGTCAAGCACGGGAATCAGCAATATTTGGGTTTCCATATGTTTCCATACGTTTCTATCCATCCCTTCAAAGATGTAAAACACTATTTGGTATTTTGAATGTATTCAGAACATGTAGTATTACTTAACATTTCTCAGTGCTGATGAACAAATATGGTCTTAAATAAGAGGCCTGATAGTTCCAAACATTTGTCTCTCCATTAATCTAAAAGCAGAAGTATGTCTTGGCCAAATACATTTTGTCACTTTTTCTTTCTTAGCAGGTTTCACTTCATTTGGTTCTCTTGGCCATGGAGGCCTTACTTCATTCTCCTCCACATCATTTGGTGGTAGTGGAATGGGTAATTTCAAATCTGTATCGACTTCAAGTAAAATAGTTAACGGCAGAAAAATCACTACAAAGAGGTACAGTGATTTAAATTTAAAT